GAGACTCCGACTCAAAAAAAAAAAAAAAAGAAATATATCACATATACTTAGCAATATTTTGCTGAGTCTTTTGAGGTTAAATTACAAACATCATAATCCTTCACCCGTAAATAGTTTGATGTGTTATTTCCTAAGAGCAATAGCATTACCTCCTATAAGAGTACACAGTTGTTAAATTCAGGAGAGTTAACATTGGTACAATACTATTATCTAAAATACAAACCATATTAAAACTTTATTAATTGTCCCAATAATATTCTTTACAGTAATTTTTTTTCAATCTAGAATCAGTCATTACATTTCATTGTTAGGTCTCATCTCTTTCTTGATTTTTGAGTTGGAGACTCACTCTGTCACTTAGGCTGGAGAGCAGTGGCATGGATCACAGTTCACTGCAGCCTTGACCTCCTAGGCTCAGGTGATACTTCTGCCTCAGTCTCTTAAGTAGCTAGGACTACAGGCACACACCACCACACCCGGCTAATTTTTAAACTTTTTGTAGAGACAAAGTTTCACTATTTTGTCCAGACGGGTCTCAAACTTGTGAGTTCAAGCAGTCATCCCACCTCAGTCTCCCAAAGGGCTGGGATTAACAGGTGTGAACCATAGCACCCGGCCTCATCTCTTCTAAAACAGCTCCTCAGCAAAAATTTTTTAAGAGACAAGGTTTTGTTCTGTCACCTAGGCAGTGGCACAATCATAGCTCAGGCAGCCTCAAACTCCTGGGTTCAAGCAATCCTCTCATTTCAGCCCTCAGCCTACCTAGGCTTTTCAACCTCTCTTTGTCTTTCAGAACATTGACATTTTTGAAGAGTAGAGCCAGTTTATTTTATAGAATGTGCCTCAATTTGGATTAGCCTGATATAAATCATTTTTAACATATTTTTAACTGGAGTAGCTATTTGTGTATTTGGCCCATTCTTCCACAGGAATTTTTGTGTCTTTATTTCTTCAATTTAAAAAAGCTATTTGTTAGGGATATCAGCCTTTCAACTGTAATACATATTACAAATATTTTTTCCTAGTTCATTGTTTGTCTTTTTACTTTGTTTATATTTGATGCTACACAAAAGATCTGGCTTTATTGTTCAGGGCAGGGGTTGTAATCAAATGTATCAATTTTAAAAATTTTTTAAACTGCACCTGAATTTTTAGTCATGGTTAGAAAGCCTTTCTCTACAGCCAGGTTATAGAAGAATTAACCCACGTTTTCTTTTCTTATCTTTTTCTAAATGGCCATCCAGCTGTCCCAGCACCATTTATCAAAGATAAATGGGATACCATCCTTATTACAGTAACTGGAGATGCTACCTTTATTATATTAGGTTTCTATATATAATTGAGTCTATGTCTGAACTTTCTGTCCCACTCCAATAGTCAGTCTGTCTATGTACCAGTACTTCACCATTGTAACTACAAAAAATGTTTTAATATCTGGGAGGCTAGGTTCCCCTCAGAACTCCTCTTTTTCAGCTTTCCTACTTATTTTTGTGCATTCATTTTTCGTTTTGTTTTTGTTTTTTGAGTTGGAGTCTCACTCTGTCACCCAGACTGGAGTGCAGTGGCCTCTCCTGACCACTGCAGCCTCGACCTGCTGGGCTCTGGAGAGCCTTCCGCCTCAGCCTTCCAAGTAGCTGGAACTACAGGCACGCACTACCACGCCCAGCTAATTTTTGATTTATTGTAGAAATGAGGTCTCACCAAGTTTCCCAGGCAAGTCTTGAACCTGTGGGCTCAGGCAATCCACTCACCTCGGCCTCCCAAAGCTCTGAGATTACAGGCTGAGCCACCGAGCCCAGCCTGCATTCATTTTTCAATAGGAACTTTAGCATCACCTTGTCTAGTTCCGTAAAAAAGTTTTTGATATTTTTATTGAGATCACATTAAATTCACAAATTAACTTAAGGAGAGCTGACATCTTAATGATGCTTTGGTTTTGTTTTTAATTTCTAAGATTTTTTGCACTGTGATCACAGTGTTATTTTAATATTTCTACTTTATGCAATCTTTTGATGTTTTCTGTGTATCTTAATATATGATACATATTAAGTATACATATTATAAGTACGCCCTAAGTGTTTGAGAAGTAAATTTATTCTCTGTTATCAGAGTGTACTGTTTAATATATACCCATTATATCTATCTATTGTGTTATTTGGATCTTGTCACAGTTTGGTTCACTGTGAAATATGTTCTAGGAGATTTAAAAAAAAATTTCCCCACAGGAAGGAGGACAGAATACCCAGTGGGAGATCTTAATGCTGCTTCCTCAGATAATTTTCCAACCTCACACAGCAAATTGGAGAGCGATCACCTGTGTGATCATACCTGCCCCAGATTTCCCCCACCCCTGCAGTTATCCTCAGATCCATTTCCTTGAGCCAAGGCAATATCTGATTTGGTTGCAGGTAGCACTGGGAGGACCACAGAGGAAGCTATTCTTAATATATTTATTAGTAATATCTTTCCTGGGAGCAGGTTGTGAGCACGTGTTCAAAATAGAGGTATGGGAGTGCAGGTATTTTGCAATATATGAGTTGACATATTTGTTCTGAGCATGGACGAGGTTGGTCTTTTGCTTCCTATCAAATACAGCTCTTACCAATGCCAGGTTTAAAACCAGGTTCAAGGGTAAGATAAACAAGTGGCTAAAACAGCTTAACATAGTAGTAAAAGGGAAGAAAAACTGAAATGCATTGGTACTTGGAAATCAGGTGGTGGAAATCAATGAAGTCCAGAATATCAGCAAAAATGATGGGGTAAGGAGCTCCATGGGCCCATTCCTCCACAGAAAGATTGAAAAATCTAACAAAAATTGTCAGAAGTAACTTTGTCAGAACTTTGGAAAAGAGGCAAAGGTTTACAGCAACCAAGCAAATGATATATCAAGAAAAAGGTAACTTTAAAATGGTAGGAGAGAGCTTTGTGGTGTTTTCACTTGCCCTTCTCCCTCAACCCCAGTCTTGAAGAAGGCAGCAGTGTGTTCCCAGTGTGGGATCTGGTCCCTGACTCTGGAGAGAGCCGAATATACCTTATTTGAAAAGAAGCGTGTGTCCATTCTCACTTGTCTGTGGGCTGCCTGAAGGACTGACATGGACACTTGTTATTGTTTCACCTAATTCAGATCCCACTTGCTGCAGAAAAGGGTCAGACAGTGTTGAAAACATTGTAAGGCAGACAACCTGCAGCCACATGGGGCAAAGGATTATAGTTGAAGCAAATAATAAAGTGCTGAAAGCTTGGGAGGAAAAACTGGGGAGAGAGATTATCTTTTTCTAAATTAGGGCATTCAAATGCACTTGTATACTGAGAAATTTAGAAGCTCCATGCATGCCCAGAGCAGCTTGTATACTCAGAAAAGACCTAAGAAGACCCTGGGCTTTCATCTTGGGCTGGCCTCAGTGCAAGCAGGAAGTGAAGGCTAAGGTAGAGTTGTAAACAGACTGTCTAAGCAAAAAAGGAGGGCCCCAGCACATAGCCAGTCTCACACACACACACACACACACACGACTGAGAGAGGTTTCTTGTTTTTGTTCCTTTTTTCTTTCTCTCTGTCTTCTCCTCTTTTCCCCTCTCTCCTCTCCTGCCCTCCCCTCCCCTTCCTTTGTCTTCCTTCTCTTCTCTTTTTCTTGCCTCATATCATTCACTGCTTCTAAATCTGAGGTCACCAGCCCAGTAGGGGCCCTGGCGTAGATGACAAGGATGTCTACAAGAGAGAAAACAGGTAGTGGTGCCCAGGGCACCTGGCAGGCTGCTTGTCCTTGAGTGGGGTGCCCTAGCAGGGAGAAGTGACTCTTGGCAGTGCTGGTGGTATCCTGTAGCTCCTGTGCTACTCAGATGTCTCAGCTTTAATCTTCGGAGATTGCTGTGGTTCAGACAGAGGCTACACTGGTCTTTATTCTATCTCAATGCTGTAGCCCCAGGTTGTGGCTTGCCCCATGGCCTCTGTCTGTGGGATGCCAGGACAGAGGCTGCTTATTCAGTCAAGAGTGGGACAATAAAGGACTAAAAACCAGCTCCCCCACTGCAGCAGACACAGACGTGGCCTAGGCACCCCAACACAGCATGGGCTTTCCTGCAGTTAGGTGAGCACGACTTTGGTGAAAGCAGTTTTTGTTTTTGACTTGTGGACACCTCAGAACTTGGAGGCTGACACTTGACTAGCCTGCAGCTGCTACAGCCTCACCGTCAGTGTCCATCTGGGGCTCTTGCCGAGGTGATGCTGCAGGTGTCCCCTGCCTGCGTGACAAGCTGATGTGAAACCGTGAAGAAGCTCCAGAGAAAGAAGCAAGGGGGCATTGAATGCTTCAGACTCACTACTCTTCCTCTGACAGTGCTAATCGTGCCTGACTCCATGCTGTCTCTCCACACCGGAGGGATGTTCCCGGGGACCGTGTGACCCATATAGACAGACAGCAAGCCAAGAAGGTGGTGTTTGCAGTGGTCTATGGAGCAGGTAGGCTGCAGGTAGGAGCTGCAGTCTTGGGGTCACCTGTAAGCCAGTGGTCGGGCACCTGTGTTTAAATGTGTCTGTGTCAAGCCGGGTTCGGTGGCTCAGCCTGTAATCCCGCGCCTTTGGGAGGCTGAGGTGAGTGGATTGCCTGAGCCCGCGGGTTCGAGACCCGCCTGGGCGGCAAGACTTCATCTCTGCAATAAATAAAAAAAATCAGCCGGGCTTGGTAGCGCATGCCTGTAATTCCAGCTACTCGGAAGGCTGAGGCGGAAGGATCGCCAGAGCCCAGCAGGTTGAGGCTGCGGTGGCCGGGAGCGGCCACTGCCCTCCAGTCTGGGCGACAGAGTGAGACTCCAACTCAAAAAAGAAAAAATAAAAAAAAAATGTGTCTGTGTCTCAGAGAAATCATTTGTGAGTCCCTGCCTGTTGTTTACATAACATGACCAGCAGACACTTGTCGGACAACTCACACTCTCAGTTCGTTCAGAGTCACAGCTGGCCTCTCAGAGGAAGCCACAAGGGTTAAGCATGGCCTGGCTGTGGCCACACATCCATACCATACCACTGGACTGGGTGCCATTTCCATGCTTTGAGACCCTAAGAAACTTTTGTCCATATACACACATCAAGGCCTTATAAAGTTAGACGACCTTAGAACATGCTCTGGTGTGGACACATTTCCACATCTCAGTACCCACCCATCTTTCCAGGGCAGGGCTCACCACAGCCAAAACCCCCTACAGAGGGCAGACCCAAGTCTCAGGCTGGGAGCAGGGTTGAAGGTCAATCAAACCTTATGGGCAGCAGGCAGGAGATAAGGGGCTAGGCCAGGAATCCCTGGAGAGCAAGAAGTTTGGCTGTCTGTGTCCTCTTTTGCAAGCCTCTCCTCTCCTCCCCGTTTTTACTGTTCATCTTCCTCTACCCACCTTGCCTAGCCCAGCTCTCATGGCAGAGGCCTTCTGCTCTCCCACCAACTCCCTGGGCTGTCTGAAAGTTTTAAATTCTTTTCTTTTTTTTTTTTTTGAGTTGGAGTCTCACTCCATCGCCCAGACTGGAGTGCGGTGGCCGCTCCCGGCCTCTGCAGCCTCCACCTGCTAGGCTCCGGCGATCCTTCCGCCTCAGCCTTCCGAGTAGACGGAATTACAGGTGCGCGCTACCACGCCCGGCTGATTTTTTGATTTATTGTAGAGATGAGGTCTCGCTGCCCAGGCGGGTCTCGAACCCGCGGGCTCAGGCAATCCACTCACCTCAGCCTCCCAAAGGCGCGGGATTACAGGCTGAGCCACCTGTAATTCCGTCTACTCGACTGGCTTGAAAGTTTTAAATTCTTTTCTGCCTGTAGGTCATGCTGAATCAGAGGCCTGATTTCCCCTCGGGAGCAGCTGTTGGCCAGCCAGTCCCGCCTTAAGGAAGGGTTCATGAGGCTGTCGGCAGGCCTGTGCAGACCTCCTTCTGCCTTTGATCAGTTCTGCTTTGAGCAGTGCAGCTTGTGCAGAGACCCTGAAAAGAGGACTCGCCTCCCTGCCATGGAAACCCTTTGTTTATTCACAGAAAGGCAGAAAAATTGAGCAAGCTTCACCACAAGAATAACGGGCCAGTGCATAGCCAATTATCCCCAGCAGCGACCTTGCCGTCTCCAGGAAGACCACAGGGCTGCTAAACAGGTGTGCCCAGTGTCTGCCCCACAACTGCAACTGACTGATTTGTCCAAAACCACCACAAACCAGACAGGCCGGCACCCATCTTGGGGCTGTGCTCTGCTATTCCCTCTGCAGGGCACCAGCCCTTGCACAATCACAGAGCCACAGAGTCACTTCTGCAGTTTGGAACTTAACTTTCCCCTTTCTCAACCTTCCTCGGCCATAGTATTAGTCACCCATTTCTAGGTAACAAATTGCCATAAACATAGCAGCTTAAAAAAATACATGTTTATTATCGTGCAGTTTCTCTAGGTGTGGGTTCTTTGCTGGGTCCCTCAGGGCTACAGTCAAGGTGTTGGTGGGGATTGTGATCTCATCTGCAGCTCAACTGGGAGGAACCACGTTGTTGGCTCCATTTCTTACTGCCTCTCAGCTGGAAGCGGCTTAGCTTCTTGCCACATAGGCCTCTCGCCTCTGACAGAGCCTACAACTTGGCAGTTCTGTTCTTCAAGCCAGCAGGAAAGCGAGAGACGCCAGCTCTGCCCTTGCTCATCCGTTCACAGTTTTGCACACCAACAGGAACGTGAGTACCACAAAGACAGGAGCACATCAGTTTAGCTCACTGCCTGGCACAGAGAAAGCACATGACATTCATTGAACAATTTGTTGGACTTCGTAATCGTTAATCTTTCAGGTCCACTTTTTGAAAACATTTTATGTGTGTACATAGTTTTGGGAAAACAGACTAAGAAACCTTGTTTTAAAGAACAAGCCTCAGTGGGTGACAATGGAGTAACATCGGATTGATTCTTCTCAGAGTTGTCTGGTCCTTTTCCTCCCCTCAGCCTTCCTCTGTTTACACCCCTGAATCTCCCTGAGGTCTCTGGCTTGGGGGAAGGCAGCACTCTGCCAAGTTATATTAGCTATGATTGCCTTTTGCCCTTGCTCCAGAAACACGTGTTACGGGCATATTGTTCACCTCGGCTCTGCAGGCAGAACGTCACCTCCCCTATCCCAAGCCAGGCAGCCCATGCTTGATCCCAACTCTGTCACCTCCTAACTGTGTGGCCATGTACAAGGCCCTCTACCTTGCGGTGCCATCTACCCCTCAGAAAATGCTCTTGTAGAGTTTGTGAGGCCGTACCTGGCACGCAGTCAACTCTCATATCCGTCATCTCACCACATCTGTGTCCACTTCAAGTCTGTGCTATGTCGACAAATGCTTCCACATAACTGAGCAACTTCTGCAGGTCTCCTGTGGCAGCCACCTTCCACCCTGGCTGGGGCAGCATCTCAAATCCAGTCGGGAGAACAGGACAGAGGATGAGTGCATTGAGCACCTGCCACGTGGCAGGCTCTGCTCCAGGAGTATGACTTTGAGTGGTGCACCTTGTGCAGAGACCCTGAGAAGTGTTCCTTCCCACTGCCACCTCTCCCAATTGCTCTGCTCCAGGAGGATGGCCCGATCTGCCCCTGCCCACTGCCGTCTGTTTGGCTCCTTCTGGGGTATTCACTTTGTTTTTTTCTGGAGATGAAAAGAGTCACACTTTGTAAATAAGCAGTGAGTCATTAGTTGTGATGTTGGTGAAAAGGGTAATTTGGCTGCTTTTAGCCCTGATAGTGACACAGGGGTTCCACCCTGAGCCTCCGTCTCGGCTGCTCCCGTTGTTCCCATCCCACTTGACAGCTGGAATTACTGTGTCTCTGCTGCTGTGCATCTCTCTTCTCTTTGTGTTTGGGAACTTATCACATGAGCTGGGACCGAGGAACCCAGGTGACCTTGTCAGGCCTTCTGGCCTGCCGGAGACCCTTTGGAAATCAGTAGAGGAGCTTTGCACCAGTTGGCTTTCAGTGGATTCCTGTATTTCCACATAAATGTACCTCTGAGCAGTCCATGAACACTGGGAGTATGTGCAGAGCCCACTCGTTCTTGAGAAAATTGGTGACACGATCATTGTGAAGACTGTGACAAAGGCAGAAGCCGCACAGGATGGTGAAGGAAGCAGGAAAGAGGCCCCAGAGGGTGCCAGGTCCATGTACTCAGCCCCATCCATGGGGCAGCACACCCAACCCCTCAGACACATGCACCCAGCATGTAGGTGCTGGCAGGAGCAATGCAGAGCCGCAGAGCAGCTGCTATGGTGGCCTTGTCTTTCTCCTTCAGTCAACTACATTCAGATGCCCATAGATGTATGAGGCACCTTCCCAGCCCAGCAGGGTCTGTCTCCTCTGGGGAGTAGCTCCTACCTCTTCCGGCCCTCCTCTGAGCTCCTATTGCTCTTAGTCTTACACATGTGTCCTCCCAAATTATTAAATGACTCTTCAGTTTGCCTCTACACGCAGTCATCGTTTGATCAACAGTTACGTGCTCTGTGCACACCATCTGGCCCACGGTTGCTCCCAGGGGACCACACTTGTCAGAAGAAACACACAGCAGGCCTGGGTATAGCACTGCATCATCAGTGCGTGTGTAGAAGAGACCCTGTGTCAAGGTATCCAGAGGAGGGCCCCACCTGGACAGAGCCAGGACAGTCTGGAAAGATGACCCAGAGCCACAATGCCTGAGCTGAGGTTTGAACATTGTGTGGGGTTTAATGGCAGGTCTGTTCCAACATGACCAGCCAGTCTTCCCAAAGTCCCACTGTATGCCGGGCACTTGCCTGGCCTTAGAGATGTAAACAGGAGTGAAAGGCTGAATCTGTGTGGGTTGTAGGGCAGAACACTTGGAGAAAAGGGAGTGAAAATTGTCCTCCTAAAGTTAAAATTGTAACATGTGGGCAGGGCGCGGTGACTCAGCCTGTAATCCCAGTACTTTAGGAGGCCAAGGTGGGAGGATTGCCTGAGTCTGGAGGTTTGAGACCAGCCTGGGCAACTTGGTGAGACTTCGTCTCTACAATAAATCACAAACATTAGCTAGGTGTGGTGGCATGCATCTGTAGTTCCAGTTACTTGGAAGGCTGAGGCGGTAGGATCACCTAAGCCTAGCAGGTCAAGGCTGCGGTGGCTGTGAGTGTGCCACTGCACTCCAGCTTGGGCGACAGAGTGAGACTCCGACTCAAAAAAAAAAATTGTAATATGTGTGCACACATAGATTCACACACACAGGATATATTAGTCATCTGTGGGAAGAGTCAAATTATGTGTTCTTGTAGGATTTTAGAGGTGGGGCATGCTCAGAGCGCCCATCAAACAGGTCCTATGTAGCCTTTAAGGAGATAGGCGTGCATGTGATTGCAACTTAAAAAGCAGGAACCTGATCAATTGAGTGAAAGTGGGGAGGTAAGTTCTATGAAAAAAGGAGCTAGTTCACATGAAGCATAAGACAGAGAAGCTCCTGCAGAGCCAAAAGCTGTCCTGCCTGAGAGACAGACAGTGGCTTTAGAGTGTGACAGTTCCACTGTCAAGGGTGCCCAAAGAGTGGGAAGCAGGATTCTAGGGCCGAGAGAGCTGCCCAGACCTTCTGTCTTCATCTCAGTCTCTCATCTCTACTTCTTTTGGAATTCCCACATCATCTGTTCCCTTGTAGACAGGCTTTCTTCACAAACAGGAATCAAGGCCACCCACTGCCCTTCAGACATGACAGTTCTACAGAAGAAAAGAAATGGATTCTTTCTCAGCTGTAAGTATTTAGAGAGGTGTGACTTCTGGTGATGGTCAAGTAGCTTTCATCAGAGCAATTCTTCCAAAGGTATCAACTGTAAACTGGAAAATATATGAAAAAGCCTGAAGTCACAGGAAAGTGATCAAAAGCAAACAGAAGCTGGAGGTTGACTGACACTTGGAAGAAAAGACTAGCACAGGTGAGTGTCCCATTCTGCAGCTCCTCACCTGAAGGCAAGCCTTAGTCCATGCTATGGACAGCAGAAACTTGGATAAGAGCATAGTCCTACCAGCTTGAAGAATCAGAGGACAGTGGTTGGGACAATAGAGAATCTGGAAAGTGAAGGGAGAAACTCCAGAAAGAAGAGAGCAAGGGGATAAGCCCAAATTCTAGGTATGAAAATGCCCAGATCTCTGACTAACCCCCAACTATGTATGACTGGGGCAGACTTCAAACAGCCCAGCTAAAATGAAAGGATTGACCTGAGATTTCAGGTGCTGCCTGCTGCAGGAAGACAGAGTTTGAAGTGTGACTTTAGTTAAATTAGCTAAAAATTAGCTAAAGTTCAATTTGGCTAAAGGGTGTACTAATTCCCTTTAAAAAAAAAAAAAAAAAGCTAGTACTCTTTAGCCAAATTTAGCCAGGTATGGTGGCATGTACCTGTTAGTCCCAACTACTGAGGAGGCTGAGATAGAAAGATTGCTTGAGACTAGGAGTTCAAGGCTGCAGTAAGCTATGATTGCACCACTGCACGAGAACCTGGAGTCTATAATGTATCACATACAACATCCAGGATACAATTCCAAATTCCTAAACATATGAAGAAACAAGATAACTTGACCATATTCAAGAGAAAAAGCAATCATAGAAGCAGATCCTGAGATGACCCAGATGTTGGGCTTAGCAAAAAAGGATTTTAAAGTTGCTATTAGTAACTACAGATGGCTCAAGAAAGTAAAGGAAAATATGTTCATAGTAAATGAAAAAAGAAAACTTCAGCAAATAAAGAGAACCAAATGTAAAATCTAAAACTGGATATGGTAATATCTGAAGTTAAAAATTCACCAGATGGGTTTAACAACAGATTGGAGATGAGAGAAGACTCAGCTACAAAGATACTCAAAACCCTATCTTGCTGACCTGGCTAAGGTATCTGGCCACCATCTGATTTCTTTCTGAGAACCAATGGGATTTTCCAAGCAGTGCCATAGCTGAGTGTGGTGATTGGAATTTGATAGAAAGAAAGAGTTGTAGATGGACTATTTCAGTAAAGTATAGTAAAATACATACTTATCTGTGAAAAATATCAAATATTATGTTTTAAGCTCTAAAAGGGATACTAGAGTTTTGTTGTTGTTGCTTTTTTCATTTCCAGTCAAAGAGCTCCAAGTCATCAGGCAGTCCTGAGCGTAGAGGAAGGACCAAGGGTTTCAATACTTTATGCCTCTCTGTTGGGAGAACAGGGTGCCCCAGACCTTCCCACTCTTCCTGGAAAAGCCCTGGAAGCAAAAACTCACCCCTTTGCTATCCCAAGATTCAAACATTCTTTCTGTCCAGAACTGCTAGGCATCAGCTGGCCAGGGCCTGGCTAAAGAGGGGACCAATCAGTCCCACTCTTTTGAAGGTCTTTTCTCTGGGTTTCACAGACCCCACATCTGCACCCTCCAGGCCATAGTTCCTAGGTTATCCCATCCGAGGGTCCCTGGAGTATGACTTCAGAGTTTATCCAGTGCAAAGGACAGCAAGGCCACTCCTGGTCCTGGTCATTCTCTCTCAGAAATGCAGGTCTCCAGTCTGCTTGTCACTCTGGGGTTCCCTCCAACAAGGCAGCATTTCCCCCCAACTCCACAGCCAGGGCTTTCCTTATAATTTCACTGTCAAGTAAGAGATTATGTTCTCATGTACTTCTTATTCTCTATTTAAATTATTGTTTCCTGGAAGAAAATGAAAGGGAATAACTATATATACTCACTCTTTGAGTTTTCCATGCCTAGTTCATAGGGATCCCCGCTTGGGGGGGTAGGGCTATCATTCCTAAGTCACACATGAAAAAATGGGGTTTATGGTGAGTCAGGTAACTTCTCCAAAGCTACACAGAATTTTCTGTTAGAGTTTGTGGGGTCCCAGAGCCTGCACCCAGCCAGCAGGAGGCTCACAATGTTTGCCAGAACTTGGGACACCACCCCAACTACAAACCTTTCTCTGAGCAGTGTCACAAGAACATCTTCATATTCTAGGACCAAATATTGTTCTAGACCAAAAGCATTTGTCTCCAAATAAATATTCTAAAGATAGGAACTCCTGGGCAGCATTTTCTTGTAATTTGGCCATGAAACTTTCCCTTCCTCTATTTTTCTATGCCCTGCTCCAGTCTCCCCTTCATGCTAGAATTGGGTCTCCCCCTGGCCAAAACAAGAGCAGAGACCATCTCTACTTATTCACTGTGTTGCCTGTAGCACCTGGCAGGCCTTGAGTCAATTTTGTCAATAAAAAAATGCTTAACTGGCTCCCACCAGGCCCAGTGTCTCAAGCCTGTAATCCCAGCATTTTGGGAGGCCAAGGCGAGAGAATTGCCTGAGCTCAGGGGTTCGAGATCAGCTTGGGAAATTTGGTGAGACCTTGTCTCTACAATAAATCACAAAAATTAGCCTGGCGTGGCAGCGCATGCCTGTAGTTCAGCTACTTGGAAGGCTGAGGTGGAAGGATTGGCCTGAGCCCAGCAGTTCGACACTGGGGTGGCCATGAGCGTGCCACTGCACTCCAGCCTGGGCAACAGAGTGAAACTCTGACTCAAAAAAACAAAACAAGCCGGGCTCAGTGGCTCAGCCTGTAATCCCGCGCCTTTGGGAGGCTGAGGTGAGTGGATTGCCTGAGCCCGCGGGTTCGAGACCCGCCAGGGCAGCGAGACCTCATCTCTACAATAAATTAAAAAAAAAAAAGTCAGCCGGGTGTGGTAGCACATGCCTGTAATTCCGGCTACTCGGAAGGCTGAGGCGGAAGGATCGCCGGAGCCCAGCAGGCGAGGCTGCGGTGGCCGGGTGCGACCACTGCACTCCAGTCTGGGCGACCGAGTGAGACTCCAACTCAAAAACAAAACAAAACAAAACAAGCCCTGGTCCAGATTGATCAGCTCCTAGCACCCAGTTTGGAAAGCCAGTGCCAATACCATCCGAACCAATCAGAAAAGACCAGTGCTGCCAGCTGGACCTGACTTCCTGAGCCATTCACAAGGCCCTCAGCTGGCTTCTCAGCTCGTCCATTTCTATGCATATGGCTACTCATTGAAGGCACATACTGTTGGTACCAAGGGCAAGTTAGGACTTGACTCTGAGCATGCGTCTTTCTCACTCATGCAGGGAAAGAGTGCCTTGCTGCTTGCCTTGGAGTAACTGTTTGAGAAGTTGCCCAGTTTTTAGAGAGCTTTTTGCAGAAGTACAAGAACATCAAGGACTTTGCCCAAGCAGGTGTCACCAGACAGGTAGGCCAACTGCTGCCAGAGTCTCCCTACTAGTGCCACAATGTCCTGGCTCTTGGTTGGGCAAGACATATGGGTAGGTACTGGGGGAGGGGGGTCACTGAGTCATTGAGGCTGAGGATAGGTGTTGGGTAAGTCCTCAGCTTCTGCTGGATAAATAAGGCTAAAAAGTTCTACACTATGTCAGAAGACATGGTAGCGCATGCCTATAGTCCCAGCTACTAGGAAGGCTGAGGTGGGAAGACCACTTGAGCCCACGAGTTTGAGACTGCAGTGAGCTTTGATTGCACGACTGCACTCCAGCCTGGGCAATAGAGCAAGACACTGTCTCAGAAAAAAAAAAAAAAGAAGCCCCCATGAGAAGGGGTCAGAGCCAGAGCCAGATTCTGTTTGAGGCAACACAGCAAACAGCTTGTAGGTGAACATCTAGGTTCAAACAGATACCATCTACACTTAGAAATGAAAAATATATATTATTTTTTTTTGAGTTGGAGTCTCACTCTGTCGCCCAGACTGGAGTGCAGTGGCCACTCCCGGCCACCGCAGCCTCGACCTGCTGGGCTCCGGCGATCCTTCTGCCTCAGCCTTCCGAGTAGCCGGGATTACAGGCACGTGCTACCACACCCAGCTAATTTCTTTTTTATTTTATTGTAGAGATGAGGTCTTGCCTGCCCAGGCAGGTCTCAAACCCGCAGGCTCAGGCAATCCACTCATCTCAGCCTCCCAAAGGCGCGGGATTACAGGCTGAGCCACCGAGCCCGGCTAGAAAATATATATTCTTATGAAATGCATGTGATATATATATATATATTTTTTGAGTTGGAGTCTCACTCTGTCGCCCAGACTGGAGTGCAGTGGCTGCTCCCGGCCACCGCAGCCTCGACCTGCTGGGCTCCAACAATCCTTCCGCCTCAGCCTTCTGAGTAGCTGGAACTACAGGCGCGCGCTACCATGCCCAGCTAATTTTTTTGATTTATTGTAGAGATGAGGTCTCGCCTGCCCAGGCGGGTCTCGAACCCGAGGGCTCAGGCAATCCACTCACCTCAGCCTCCCAAAGGCACGGGATTATAGGCTGAGCCACCGAGCCCGGCTGCATGTGATATATTTTAAAATATCACTACAATATCAAGTAGACTGTGTCTATGACCACAGTAAAATAAAAAGGTAGTTGTGTGTGTGTGTGTGTGTGTGTGTGTACAGTCATCCTTCCATCTACCTATTTGGAAATTTATTGCACTCCTAAGTAGTTTAGGATAAAAAAAAGAAATCACAAGAAAATGATTTTTAAAATTTTATAAGCAAAGACAGTAAAAGTATCTTATCAGAAACTATAGGGCAATTCCCTCAGGTCCCCTCCCACTGTGGGAGCTTTTCTGTTCTCTCAATAAATCCTACTTTCAAAAAGAAAGAAAGAAAGAAATTGTGGGATGTGGCCAAACTGACACCTCACATAGAAGTAAGGGAATATTTTTAAAGAGTATTTTTTTTTTTTTTTTTTTGAGTTGGAGTCTCACTCTGTTGCCCAGGCTGGAGTGCAGTGGCCACTCCCGGGCACCGCAGCCTCGACCTGCTGGGCTCCAGCGATCCTTGCGCCTCAGCTTTCCAAGTAGCCGGAATTACAGGCACGCGCTACCATGCCTGGCTGATTTTTTAATTTTATTGTAGAGATGAGGTCTCATCAAGTTGCCCAGGCAAGTCTCAAACCAGCGAGCTCAGGCAATCCACTCACCTCAGCCTCCCAAAGGCGCAGGATTACAGGCTGAGCCACCGAGCCCGGCTTAAAGAGTATTTTTTAAAGAAAGAGAAATCTGTAGGTATAAATGAGTTGTGTTCAACATGAGAAATTTGGAAAAGAGCAGCAAAGCAAAATTAAAGAATGAAGTGGCAGGGCGCAGTGGCTCAAGCCTATAATCCCAGTACTTTGGGAGGCCGAGGCGAGAGATTGCCGGAGTCCATGGGTTCGAGACCAGCCTGGGCAACATGGTGAGACCTCGTCCGTACAATAAATTTTAAAAAATTTCTGGGTGTGGTAATATGCGCCTGTAGTTCTGGCTACTTGGAAGGCTGAGGTGGAAGGATAGCCTGAGTCCAGCAGGTCAAGGCTGCAGTGGATGGAGCGTGCCACTGCACTCCAGCCTGGGCGACAGAGTGACTCCAACTCAAAAAAAAAAAAAGAATGAAGTAAAGAAATCAGTGGGAGAACAGAAATGAATGAAATAAACAACAAAATGGATTGATAATAGGTACAGAAAGAGCATTCACAAAACTCAACACTCATTATGCAATGAACAATAAAAAGGTTCGGTAGCTCAGCCCGTAATCCCGCATCTTGGGAGGCTGAGGTGAGTGGATTGCCTGAGCCCGTGGGTTCGAGACCCGCCTGGGCAACCTGGCAAGACCTCATCTCTACAATAAATCAAAATATTAGCTGGGCATGGTAGCGCGTGCCTATAATTCCGGCTACTTGGAAGGCTGAGGCGGAAGGATCGCCGGAGCCCAGTGGGTCGAGGCTGCGGTGGCTGGGAGCGGCCACTGCACTCCAGTCTGGGTGACGGAGTGAGACTCCAACTAAAAAAAAAAACCGACTGGAGACCTGGGCTGGCAGGACCAACATTCCCAGAAGGCTCTGGCATGTCCCCTCAGGGCTCAGTCAGTGTCTCTGCGACATCCTGAATACCCTCCTAGACTCTCCTCCAGTGACTCATTGACTTTTCATTGTGGAGCCTGTACATAGCCCATAAGCTCCAGGGCAGCTGCCACAGACTACCTGTTGGTCTGACAGGCCTATGGACAGCATCTGTACAGAGCTGCCCACACCAGCCCCAAAGGAGAGCCCTGCAGCCTGCAACTATGCAGCTCCCCAGAGCTGGTCCCCTCCATGTGAAGCATGAGAAAGCATGGCAAATTCCATCCCTGGGGGTCTGACAAGCCTTGAGCTTCCTGGGCCTGGCACCTTTCCATGTCAGGTGGCATCAGTGGAGCCACAGTTGGTTTTGGAATCCTGGGGAGGGAAAGTTGAGCTGGCAACTCACCTAATGTGGATTTCATGCTGGTGTTTCTGCAGCCCACTGCCCCCTCTGTGTATAGGGGAGGGATACCACACTGGCATGGGCATGGCTTCCAGGAATATTACTTCCACTCTTATCACCATGAAGGGCCAGGGCTAGAGATCATCTCATATATGAGCAGGAACCATGGAAGCATTGGGTGGAGGAGAAATGAGCTCTGAAATGAGGTACAGAGTTTGAAATGTTCAGAGTCAGAAGACTTTTGCTTTGGGCCACAGAGGAGCCGCTGACTTCAGAATTTGCTCCCACCATAAACAACAAGAAAACTGGACAGCTGTCTCCAATACTGGTCAGTGAGCAGTGTATTGCTCTGGTCTCTGAGAGAAAATATCCAAATGAGCTGAATTTCATGAGCACCTTGTGTCTGGACACACAGCTAACAGTGCAACAGTGCAGAGGGGAAGCCACATAGACTCTGGGGTTTCACTGAGTGGAGGACACACAGATCCAGATTGGGGATGCAGAGGCAGCTGGATTTTGCAAGGCAGAGTATCAGAGAGGAGGAAGCTACACAGAGAGCAAGTGCCACAAATCTTCAAAGAATTCTCTTTATGTGTGTTTTTGAACACTAAGATACACGTGCAGGGCCGGGAGCGGTAGCTCAAGCCTGTAATCCCAGCACTTTGGGAGGCCGAGATGAGAGGACTGCCTGAGCCCACGGGTTTGAGACCAGCCTGGGCAACTTTGGGAGACTTCATCTCTAAATAAAAATTTAAAAAATTAGCTGGGTATAGTAGCAGTCGCCTGTAGCTCTGGCTACTTGGAAGGCTGAGGCAGAAGGATTGCTGGAGCCCAGCAGGATGACACTGGGATTGCCATGAGCATGCCACTGCACTCCAGCCTGGGTAACAAAGTGAGACTCCAACTCAGAAAAGAAAAGAAAAGAAAAAAAAGATACTCTTGCATAGAGTAAAACTCTACAAGACTGAGCAAAAAAATGTCTGGGGAGCAATAAGCTGAATGACTCCAAAATTCACAGGGCTAGGAGATGTTTGAGTTCTGACCATCCAGAGTGGAGAGGACACCTAGGACATTAAGCAGAGACCACAGAAGGGTCACACATTTGAGACAGGTCTAAACTAGCCCTGGAGCAAAGCTACTCTAACAAAACTTAAAAACAGATTTCAGAGGGATAGAGATGGACTGGGTGTGGTGGCTTACACTTCTAATCTCAGCATTTTGGGAGACTGAGATGAGAGAATTCTAATACTTGATGGCAGAAGCTCAAGATCAGCCTGGGCAACATGCGAGACTCCCATTTCTACAAAAATAAAATAATAAAATTTTAAAAAGAGAGGATCAAGATGATCAGTAAGTAACTTAGACCTGCCAAAACACTCTTGAAGGAAAGATAGCAAGCCCCAAAACTCAACAACATAAAATTCACAATGCCCAGCATCTGGTCAAAAATCATTAGACAGAGGCTAGGTACAGTGACTCACACCTGTAATCTTAGCACTTTGGGAAGTGAAGGTGGGCTTAGTGCTTGAGCACAGGAGTTTGAGATCAGCCTAGGTCTCAACATAGCAAGACCTTGTCTCTACAAACACATTTAAAAATTAGCTAGGCATGGTGACCTGGGCCTTTACTCCTAGCTACCTTGGAGGCTAGTCAGAAGAATTGCCACCTGATCCTAGGAGGTCAAGGCTGTGGCGAGCCATAGTCATGCTACTGCCTCTGCCTGGGCAACAGAGTGAGACCCCAACTCAAAAAAAAAAAAAAAATCACTAGATAGGTGAAACTGCAGGAACTGAAAAAGACAAAGTCAGAAGAATAGGCTCCCTCTTATCTTCACTGCCAGTTACTCTTAGGAATTCTGATGTAGTGCCTCGCATATGGTAGGTTCTCAATAGCTTGTCACTTTTATGATTATTATAGATGTGGGAAATTTTCTCAAGCCTCAGACATGTAAAATTACAAGTGGAGGATTTATTTCTCATCAACACCAACTAACATGAAAGTCCTCGCCGGTCAAGACTATGCTCAACCAGCACAGCACATTTGTGTTCATTTTCTTTCTTTCATCTTTTTTTTTTTTTTGAGTTGGAGTCTTACTCTGTCACCCAGGCTGGAGTGCAGTGGCACGCTCATGGTCACCGCAGCCCCGACCTGCTGGACTCAGGCAATCCTTCCTCCTCAGCCTTCCAAATAGCTGGAACTACAGACATGTGCAAACGTACCTGGCGAATTTTTTTATTCTATTGTAGAGATGAGGGCTCACTAAATTGCCCAGGCTGGTCTCAAACCCGTGGGCTTAGACAATTCTCTCACCTCGGCCTCCCAAAGTGCTGGGATTATAGGCGTGAGCCACCACGCCCGGCCCAGTGTTCATTTTCTTTCTTTCTTTTTTTTTTTTGAGTTGGAGTCTCACTCCGTCGCCTAGGCTGGAGTGCAGTGGCGCACTCACAGCCACCCCAGCATCAACCTTTTGATCACCCAGGCTCAGGCAAATCCTTCCTCCTCAGCCTTCCAAGTAGCTGGAACTACAGGCATGCACTACCATGCCCAGTTAATTTTTTGATTTATTGTAGAGGTGAGGTCTCCTGAAGTTGCCCAGGATGTTTTCAAACCCAGGGGCTCAGGCAATGCACTCACCTTGCCCTCAGGCAATCCCCCCACCTCGGCCTCCCAAAGTGCTGGGATTACAGGCTTGAGTCACCACACCCGGCCTCATTTTCTTAAAGAGAGGCACCAAACAGCATATACTCAGGCTGCCCAAGATTGAATCTGTAAAGACTTAAAAGTAAGCTATAAAAATCCTAGTAGAAAATCTAGGAAACAATCTTCTAGACATCATCTCGGCAAATTTATGAAGAAGATTCCGAAAGCAATTGCAACAAAACAAAAATACATAAATGGGACTTGATTAAATTAAAAGGCTTCTGCACAGCAAAAGAAATAATCAACAGAGTGAACAGAAAACCTACAGAATAGGATAAAATATTTGCAAATTATGCCTCAAAGGGATAATATCCAGAACCTACAAGAAACTCAAACAACTTAACACATACATACACACAAAACCCACTGAAAAGTCGGCAAAGGGCACGAACAGACACTTCTCAAAAGAAGACACACAAGCAGCCAACAAACATATGAAACAATGCCCCACATCACTAATCATCAGAAAAATGCAAGTTAAAACCACAATGAGATATCATCTACACCTGTCAGAAAGGCTATCATTAAAAAGTCTAAAGAACAACAGATGTTGGTGCAGTTGCAGAGAAAAGAGAGTGCTCAATCACTGTTGGTGGGATTGTAAACTAGTTCAACGAGTTCATAGTAGAACAGTATGGAGATTTCACAAAGAAGTAAACATTGTATTATCATTCTACTCAGTAATCTCACTACTAGAGATCTACCCAAAGGAAAACAAATCATTTTCTTAAAAAGATATTTGTAATCATATATTCATTGCAGCACTATTTACAGTAGCAGAATCACAGAACTAACCTAAGTGCCCACCAACGATTGGATGATGAAACATCATGGAATACTACACAGCCATAAAAACAGAGAATGAAATCATGTCCTTTGCATCAGCATGGATGGAGCTGGGAAACATCATTCTAAGTGAACTAACTAGAAACAGGAAACCAAACACCATGTGTTCTCACTTAAATGGAAGCTAAAAGGCCACAACGATTGAAATAATAGACATCGGGGACACCAATAAGGAAGGAGGTGGGAGGAGAGTTGGGGTTTAGAAATTACCTATTCGGGCTCGGTGGCTCAGCCTGTAATCCTGCAGTTTGGGAGGCCGAGGTGAGTGGATTGCCTGAGGCCGCGGGTTCGAGACCCGCCCGGGCAACTTGGCGAGACCTCATCTCTACAGTAAATTAAAAAATTAGCCAGGCATGGTAGCACGCACCTGTAGTTCCAGCTACTTGGAAGG